AGCCCGGCCCCAGCCCCCGCGGCAGTGACGGCGCAGCCGGGCCCGGGCCTTGGCCTGCAGGGGGAAAAAAGTTTGTGGATAGCCCGCACCCCGTATAGACACATAACTGAGTATGAGCTGCCAGGGTTGTGCTCTGAGAGAAAAGGAGAATGGCAAGTGAGTAGGAAAGTGATTTTAGTTCCATATGTAACATGAATGAAACAGATACTAAAATGTAGTTTCTGGAATAAGATGTCTGTGTTTTCAAGATGTTGATAATTTGCAGAGAGTGCAGAAGAGCCACACCATGAAGGTGATGAACCATTAGAACTAGTGGTACAATCTCCATCTTGATGCAACTTTATCAGAACTAAACAGTGCTCCAGAAGACATGGTGTATAGTCAAATTTGGCTCGTTACAGAAGTGACTGAAATTCTAATGACCTCTGATATATGGGAGAGAATCATAAGATCTAATAGGCTCTTCTGTCATTACAGCCTAATGCAAGAGATTGAAATGCAGCTTTATGTAGGTCAGCTGTGTAGACACAGCTGGTTAACACTTAGCCCAATATATCCTAAAATGTCCTATGTGCTTTATAAAAGACATGCGCTATAGCAGTACTGTAGTTTGCTGATTCATAAGTGGTGTTTCCATTTAGATAATGAGATCTGCACAACTTCTACAATAGGAAAGCAGACTACTTGTGTGTATTGTAGTGTTTGGAGAACATCATTTTTATCACTTTTATCCATTTTGCAGGCTCTTGCAATAGATCCAGAAAACACCAAAGCTCTTTACAGACGAGCTCAAGCCTGGCAGGGAATAAAAGATTTTGATCAAGCTCTGGTAATTATTAAGAGTTTGTTTTGGTTTATGTATTTACAGTTTTTAGCAAAGCATTTACTTTTTTAATTTTTATTTAAGGCTGATATTAAGAAGGCTCAGAAAATAGCACCTGAAGACAAAGGTAAACTGTCTGCTTAATATTAAGCCTTTATTATTTAGTAAATAGTTTAAGTTAATAGGCTTTGCTTAATTAAAATGCTGAAGTCCCAGTGTAATTTGCAAACCACTTAACAGGGCTTCACAGACCAGTTTGGGAAATGAGTGGCTTAATTTTGATGTAGAGCTGTTTTTAATCCTGGTATCAGAGTGGTCACAGGAGCCCCCTGCTTTCTTCCTGGCAGTTCCCAGAACTTAATTTTTTCAAAATCAATCCTTCTTGCTTATATGGCATAGAATCTATAGGCTAACATAATACCCTTTCATAGGGTTTACAACATGAATACAGACAAGTTTACTATTTATCCTGTAATGATGGTGGTCAGGGAAATTATTTCTGTACAAGACTAATACTATGCCCTTGGCCAAGAGCTCAATTTTTTGGAGCTCAGGATGGGAAAATTTGTTTGTTTTATGCACTCCTGACCTACCAAAAAAAGTAGATTGCTTGATATCCAGGTACCCAGGGGAAACATTCTTTAAATCAGAAACTCCCTTCCTATTGATGGTACTTTGTACGCTGTTACTCTCTGTGAGCTCATTTCCCTATTCTGTGATTGGACGGGAGGGTAAAGCAGCTTGTGGAGAGTTTTTTGTTAGTGTATACCTTGATCACTTCATTTATAGATACTTTTTGTAGGTTAGACTGTCTCTGCTTGAACAGTATGAAATGAAGATGGGTGATAAAGTTGTGATGTAATTGAGGGTTATCATAACTGTAACCAGGCTTTTCTTTTAACCAGCTATCCAAACTGAAATTCTGAAGATCAAACAAAAAATAAAGGCCCAGAAAGATAAAGAAAAGGCAGCTTATGCTAAAATGTTTACCTGAATGGTTGTTTTGTCCTGTTAGTCATCGGAAGTAAAGATGAGCAGATCTGCAGCCGAGCATGACTTCTGCCTTGTACTGCAGTACAGATGTTGTAGGAATACTACCTTATTTCCAGTGTTTACAGCTTAAACCAAGTTTCATAATAAAGTCATTCAGTCTGAAATGAAGGCTGTTTTCCTTTAAAATAACTCACCAACATTAGATACAGTCTGAAGACTAGAGCTTAGAATGAATTTACCTGAACTGCTTTAATATATTCAAACACTAACTCCTTCACCGGAACAGCATCATCTAAGTCTCAATCCCACTGACCTGAAGTGTTGGTAGAAGTAGTTTGTAAAACTAAAGTGACAACTTATCAATTAAGTTTATATATAGTACTTACAAACTTTATTAGAAATTTCTTCCCTTGAAATACCAAGAGTTAAATATTATGAAGTATAATAATTGAAATTGGTGAGTTTTGTAGACTGATTTTTTTTCTAATGCACTTATTGGATCAAGATTCTATTTATAGGACATTTTAAGGCAGGGCAGACACGTACTCATCACTGAAGATGAAGAATCACCGTTTTTAATTCTTTCACATCCAGAGTTCTGGATATGTCCACTTAACCACTGGCAAAAAATCAGATTCCACATTGACAAAAAAAAAAAAAAAATCAAGAAAAGACCTGTTTGTTTGTTTTTTTTGTCTGCTGCTCCACTTGCTTGGATGAAGCTTCTCACAAATAATAGCAAATGCAAAGGCATTATGCTTTAACATAATGATCCAGCCTGAAGTTTAGAATGGCAAAATTACCTCAAACATTCAGGTCAGTTATATGCTTACACTGCAGCACAGGTCCTGTAAAACTTCATTGTAGGAGCTTACAGCATCATGTCAGAAGTTCATTGGACAGTTTTGATCAGGTTTACATTCCATTATAGGCTGGTCCTCCTCCACCTTCAGGTACTACCCAGTTAATATTCTGGCTCGGGTCTTTAATATCACATGTTTTGCAGTGGACACAGTTCTGGGCATTTATTTGCAGCCGTGACCCTTCTCCTGTTTCCAGAGGAACAAACTCATAAACTCCTGTGAAGACAAGAGCAATGTCACTATTTGGGTCAGTTACTCAAGATCTTAAAATCCAAAAATTAAAAAAAGGACATATTACAAGTTCTATGCTCATAACTCACAAGTTCTTGCACTCTTCAAAAGTAATTAAATAAGGGCTGTGATTTTACAGTATGGGGACTTAAATGTTCAGTTGATACTTCCTGTGCAGTTGCACCGATTGTCTAGTCACAAAAGTTCTTAGGGAAAAGGGTGAGGTGGTAGTGAGGGGAAAAAAATTGTCATTCGCCTTAAAAAAATGTTTTAACGTACAATTCGTTTTACATACCTGCAGGACAGAATCTTTGTTCTGGTCCATCAAATATTGCTAAATTCTTATTCACAGGGATGCTGTCATCCTTTAAAGTCAAATGAGGAGGCTGATCATGTTCATGATTTGTACCACTTAGAGCCACAGAAGATAGGAGATCAAAACTGATTTTTCCATCAGGCTTTGGATATTCAATAGGTGTGCAGTCTTTGGCTGGTTTTAGCTGAGCAAAGTCTGCCCCTGAAATTTTGAATGACATAAGTCAATGTATTGGTGTTTAGGTCAAGTAATTTGTAGGTATTCAAATTAAATTTTAAATGGGACACTTTAGCAATGTGTGGAATGTGTGTCTTAATAACTGAAAGTGAGAACAAAAAAAATACTACCCCTACCCCTCAGTCCAATTACATTAGGGCAGTGATCCAGACACAAATACACTTATCAAGTAACCACTCTGGCCTTGGTTTGTGTATTTGAAAGATCTCCCATGTGAGAACTAACCAGTCTATTGCTAGATTTAATATTAAAAGGCCAGAGAACAGATACAAGACATACAGCAGAATCTGCTGAAGGAAAGTTACCTGGATGTTTTAACGTCCATGGCTCCATTCCTCTCAGTATCCAGTAAAATATGCCTGTGTAAATCATTCCTCCATATACACCCAACACTCCATGGCAGGAAGGCCGGATATTCCTAACAGAATAAATTTCTTTCCATACCCAGGATTTCTTTAAATTCTCTTCATATTCTGGCACATTAAGTCCTAAAAACAGAAATGAGTATTTAAAGGGAAGATTGTACTCAAAACTGGTTGCAAATTGAAAAGTAATGGTCAATACTGTATTAATTTACAGTGCTCAAGCATTGATTTATAAAATAAAAACTGGGTTTATAGCTGTTTCATAAGAGTATATCTAAATTTACCTGGCTTTTAGTTCCACTGATAAAAGTGACGTAGAAGTAACCAAGATGCCACACATCTAAAAACTGCTATTGAGGGCTCTCTTCTGAAAAAGTTCTTCCTATGCATTTGTAAAGTTGAATTTAATTCCAGTAAACAGATATCCTTCCTTTATTTACAGAGGAAAACAAGTACTATTGAAGTCTCTTGTGGAAAAAAAAATCCTGAAAACCCTATACATACCATTTAAAAAACTCTGTTGCTTGATGACTGGAGAAGAAAATTAGAATGGGAAGCTAGGAATATACAAAACTACCATGCTTCCACACCATACAGGAGGATCTACTTTCAAGACAGTCAGTGGCAGATACCTAAAAAGGCTTGTGACACATGCAGGTAGTTTAGACTAAATGATGCTGTTTCTGGCCATGCAGTCTGAATACACGGGCCATATGTTGGACAAACCTGTTCTAGAGCTTATGCAAAATAAATGCGCTGATATCTAGAACTCCATTCTCTTACAGTACTGTATTTACTTGAATCCAAGACAAGGTGTTTTTTCCTCCCTCATTAACATGGGGACAAAAAGCACCCCCATCTTGGGTTTAAGTGGGGCAGGAGCGCAGGCAACTGCTGTGGCTTCAGCTCCAACCCAGGCTGGTAGTTGAAACCGCTACCCGTCCCACCCTGCTGGAACTACTGCTGCATGGCCAGGTGAGGACTGGAGCTGCCAAGTGCTCCAGATTGGAGCCGGGCTGGAAGGTAAGTTGCAGTGGGGAAAGAGGAGGGGGTAGTTGGGAGGCAGGGCAGGTGCCACGGGGCAAAGGGAATAGCATCACAGGGAGGCAGGAGGAGAGGGGAGACAGGCAGCAAGGGGGAAGGGTCAGGCTATTTGACTGCCCTACCGCTACTTGCCTGGCTGTAGCTGGGGAGGATGAATTTAAGATGTTGCTCCAATAGTTAAACTCTACATGTTGAACCTTATAACAAAATTTATAAATGTACCGTGTATGCAATCTAATTGCTGGGGGGTTGTCTTGCATTCATTGTTGTCCTGGATATGGATAAATACAGTATATTATGCTGCTTTAAAATGTAATTCTGTTGTAACAGATTGATTTTAAAGGCAGACCTGAGAAACAGCATCAGAAGAAGCTCCTGGAGCAACATTCATTCCAATTATCAATACTGTATCAGAATGGATATTGAAATAAATAAAGTAAAGGCCTGCCTACTCTAAAAGATGCACCACTTTACAGCACACTGTACTGCCACACTTAAAAGCCTGTAACAAAACAACTTTTTATTTCCTAAGCACACAAGAAAAACAGTTTTGTAATGAAGCTGAAGAACGTCATTTTCCAATCCTTTCCACAATGGGAACAGATCTAACTACCATGAAGGAACAGTATATTAGCATGATGGCTTTTTACTGCAGATCACTTCTAAGTATGCTAGCTAGAAGCTGAACAATCCAACTGCTAAGGATACTACAAGACTATCTTGCACCGTGCCTGTAGTTATAAAATATTAGCATACATTTTTAAATGGTTATAACAACTTGGAGTTTTAGGGAATAGCAGCATTACAAAGTTTAGGCTTCCAAACATCACAAAAGGCTAAAAGATTATAGGACCAGATCAAGTTCTGACACTATCTATCTGTGACTTCTCCAGACTCACGGTGACAACTACCAGAGAGAACAATTTATGCATAAACAAAGCCACACAATAGTACAACGCTACCAATGTAGGGCACCTATTGCAGGATGTGTTTGCTATTTTATATAAAGCAACATAAGCTGCATGTGACAAATAATGGGATGCATACAGGATATTACTGCAATGAAAGGACTGTGTAAGGCAGTGATTCTTACCCAGGGTGCCATGGCATGCTGAGGTGCCTTAAGATCCTTTCAAGAGAGCTGTGGGGTGTGTCTCAGTTTTAGCATTGTCAGGTGTAAACATGATTCACAAGATAAACCCAGTTTCAAACAGGAAATCATAGTATTAGTATTCTGACTTATTGCGGTCTTTTCTGTTGCAAAGTACTCAGAGAGTACTGGCTCTATTTTTTTGTAGACATTGAGTGAAAAGTAAGAGCTGGAATTTTCTGAGTGTCTTGAGTCTAAAATTTGGGAGCCACTGCTGTAAGGTTAAGTTTCAGTGGAACAGAAGTGTAATAATCTGACAACTTAAAAAATTTAATGTGCTATTCAATGTTAAATCGCATTGTATGGTTTTATTTGCATTTCCCTCAGCTGGAACAATGACAGATGGCAGCCTTTCACTGTCTGCACTAATGCAGTAATACTGTTCGAGCTGCAAGCAAAGACACTCATCTGCTGCTACCTAAATATTTTTTTAAAATTTTGAAAGTCAACCTTAAAAGATTTTTCTTTAAAAACATGGACAGTAAATTTAGACTTAAAACCCATAATGCCCCTTTATGTCAAAGCACACTGCATTCTCCACTACAGTACAAGGACCAGATCTATTCACTGTAACCAAACACAAGACATTCTGACTTGCAGAAAAAACCCCAAATGTATTCATTTTGTCTTGAACCATCACAGTAATGGTGATTTATTATTTTTTCAAGCAGCTCCTTCATATTCAGACAATTAATGCAGATGGTTTCAATGCAATTAACGCAGATGGTTTCAATTGTATATGCTGGTCCAGGGGTCGGCAGGCCTGAAGAACCTTGGGCTCGAGCCTGCAGATGCAAGGCTTTGGTGGCTGAAGCCCCTGCTGTCAAAATGACCAGTCATGGAAGCAGGATCCTACTGCTGACCTACCTGCCTTTGACCTGGGGTGGGTCATTCCAGTCCCGCAGCCAGAAAAGTTTTCCCTGTGCTAGCCAATTACAAATCTAAAGTATGGCAATCTTACCTGTTGTCTTTCCTTGGACGTTTTCATTAGTTAATTGGTTGAAAATAGCTTCTGAAGCCAGCATGCCACTTTTCATTGCAGTATGTGTACCTTTGATTTTAGGAACATTCATAAAACCAGGACTGCAACCAATCAGTAATCCACCAGGGAAGGTGAGTTTGGGTATAGACTGAAGAGAAAAACATGTACTGAGATGAATATCTGCATTTTCTTAAAGTAACCAAATCTAATGAAAATCAAATTTGGCACATGACCAGAAATGCTATGTGTAATATCACACTTAGCTCATGCACTACCTAAAAGATTAGGTAGAGCAGTTCTACTTAAGTCATGGTCTTCTGGCAGTGAGCAAATGAAAGATCAGATACTGTGGAATGTCAGTCCTTTCTAGTTCTTCTGATCTCCAATTTAGTAAGTTAACATTTATTTTAAAAATAGAAAAGCATGCTTTCTCCCACAGTCACTGTATCCATCTTAAAAGAATCACACAATCATAGAAAAGTAGGGCTTGAAAGGGCCTCAGGAAGTCATCTAGTTCAACCACCTGCTCAAGGCAGGATCACCCCCTTCCAAAATACCCTATACACTTTTTTTTGTCTAGCCTATTCTTAAAAGTACACAAAAAACCCTGTTGCAAATGAGGACACATTGCCCCAAAACACCAAAACCCTACACTACCGCAGGTAGAGAAGGGGAATGATGTCAATGTCCTGCTGCTGCAAGGATAGGAAGCATTTGTTAATACATTTGAGAGATCCAAAGAAGACCATGCTTCCCACTACAGAATAAGGCAAATCATGTGACGGTGTGCATGCTGATCTCACTGTGGAATAAAACTTCTTGATTCTTCTCTCTGTTTAGTGTTCAGTTCTACATCCTCTCAGTTGACAAACAGACTTTGTATACACTATACAATTTGGCATAAAATCCCAATTCCTTTACAGGAAGAAAAAAAAAAAAACTTACTTGGAGACTAACAACCAAACAGTCTGTGAACAAACTGTCCCTCTAGTCCCTTTCTCTGAGAAGCCTGACACCGTCTACCAGGGTAAATTCTGAAAATGTTTGCATGTAGAAAATGATGTCTCTGTAGCTACAAACTGAAAATAATCAGGTGATTCAGATATGTCCTAAACAGCCAGAGACATGCCCCCCACACTAATAAGTATATCTTACTATATTGTAGAAATCTCTTTGAAGTTCTTTCTTACTACTTCTGAATAGGACTAGGTCAATAGTGTGGTTTTAACTGACCCCAAATCAGTTGGTGAAGTTGGCAAACACTTTTAAGGTTAACCAAAAAATTTCAGGACTTAGGCAGAGACGGTGGTGGTAACCCTTTTATATCCCATAACTAACTGGTTAGGGCACTCACCTAGGATGCAGCAGACCCAGGGTTAAAACCCTTCCCTGCCTGATTCACAGCAGGGATTTGAACTGCATGTCTCAGGAGAGTACCCTAACTATAAAGGTTGTAGTATATTGTCTCAATCCTTTCCTGCTGCAACTTCCATTTTAAATAAAACATTTAAATAGACATGGAAACAGGAACCAATCCCAGATAATCCCATCTCACAGGTAAATGCCCTAACCACTGTACTGTAGAGTCACTTTCACTCAATGAAACATTTAAGTATTTATAATGTGAACAGCTTTAACAGGAGCCCCCACCTTGGCATATTTTATAAGTAAAACTTCTGACAATTTTTAGTAAATTACATGACAGAGGAAGCAGCAGGGAAAGGGAGAAGCAATATTCATGAAATGCATACTAAGCATGCTTGCTGTAGGCTTATGCCGTTATACTTTGGGTGCCTGAATTATTAAAGTTGCCAAGTCAAACAGCTGTTTGTATACAATATATTAAATACTCAAAAGAGGAAAGCACTTAAGGGCCATAACTTGTCCCCCAAGTAACAGCACCACCATAGTGAAAGATAGAAATATCTGTCAATTAGTTAATCTAAAGCTAATTAAAAAGATAAAAGTATCAGAGTATTTGGCCATTTTGTGCATCTTTCTACATGAGGCAATCATCTTCACCAAATGAAAGGGAAACTAAGAGCTTACAATGCTATTATGGCTCCATTGTGACAACTGATCAAGGACTTCTACAATTATTGTCAAGACAACTATTTTAGAAAATCTCTATTTCTACTACTAGGACCATACTTTGCTTCCAGCCGATTCAATGAGATGTTCTTAAACCCAAGAAGCACATCTTTAAAAGATACGAGCTTTCTAGAGTGCATCTCTTTAAAATTTCTGGTCAACCAGGAGATACAGGAAAGTAAACTCCATTTAATGTAGGTACAAAGCACATTAAATAAAAGAAGTCAAGCTCGGCCACAGCAAATATGCAAGGTTTCTCACATTACGAAAAACTCAGAGGAAAGCCAGGCTCATGAGCTGGAAATTTTAACTATTCTTGCTGAGCTGTGGAGAATGCCCACAGGGGCTAAAAGAAACAGCCTTAATTCTTTCATCTGTATTTCTCTGGAACTCATTCACATAAACTGGTAGAGACCAAGGGAAAAAGAGTACACCTACCCGCTGCCTGTTAGCAATATGTTCATTACTGACTATTGTAACACCTTTGCTGTTTTGCACAATTCTGCTGCAACAGAGACAAGAGAGATCTGGCCATATGCTCAGTCTAATAAACAGTGTGCAGTTTCCCAAGTAGTGGCGATCAGCTTATTGTAGAACATCCAATGAGATTTGCTAGACCCAAAAGACTTTTCTTCTTCTGATCTGTAGTTACTTCTGTCTTTATCTAACCTTCCATAATAAGCCAATGGAGACTTGCCAGTAGACAAACTGGAATTAGTATAACTAGCACTGTGGCCCAAGAAAATTCAAGGTAAATAGTCTAATAAAGTTACAAAATACTTACCTGGAAACCACCTTCATTCAAAGCCCTTGCACCATATGCAATCCTTTTTCCACCCTCCAAAGTAGGCTCCACACTGGGATGGTGCTTCCACCTCTGGAACTCTCGAAAGGGGTTCAAGTAGGGATTTTGATAATCTAAGCCAATCTATACACAAAACAGGTAAACATGATGTTAGAAACATTAAATATGAATAAATCAACAAAAGAGATGATAGTTTTATATTGCTGCTATAAAGTGTCTTAATGCTAATAAGGCATGATGAGCCCATTTCATATCATACCAGTTTCAGGCTCTTTTAAAACTAAAGATAAACGCAGTAGCCAAGCTATGTTTCATTTATGCTACAATTAGAGCGTCTGAAGATTTTGCTACCACAAAGTTGTGCCCGGTCCTAGTCAAAATATTTACAACTTGGTTAAGATACTTTCCACACTACCCAGCTCCTGTTCCCACAGGAAATAAAGCAATGCAACTGCATTAATCGTGGTTTGTCCTGTGCTGTGTGGTTGAGGCATTATAATTTCCAAATCATATTTCAAAATGTTGTTGAATGTAGAACAGAAATATGGACTACTCTTATCCCCAGGGCTCTCTCTCATAGTCTTCTCACCAATACTTGTAAGCACTGTTTTACATGACTTAGAACTGAGTCAATTAACATTTCCAAATAGATGAAGCATCAGTATAAGGCATCAGGGAAAAATGCTATAAAGACAGATAATGAACACAGACTATGCCAGCTGGTTAAATGCCTAGTTCATATTTTACATCCATTCAAAAGCCTGAACATAGGCACATCCTTCTAGATATGGCCAAATTCCAGCTTTGATAGACTACGAATCAGAAAATTATGATTCGAAGGGACCTCAGGAGGTCATCTATTCTAAACCTCTGCTCAAAAGCAAGACCATCCCCAATTATATCATCCCAGCCAAGGATTTGTCTAGCCACTTCTTAAAAACCTTCAAAGATGGAGATTCCACAACCTCTCTGGGTAATGTGTTCCAGTGCTTTACTATCCTTCTAGTAAGAAACTCTGTCCTAATAGCTAACCTAAACTTCCCTTGCTGCATCTTGAGACCATAGCTCCTTGTTCTGTCACCACCGAAAACAGTCTACCTCCATCCTCTTTGGAACCACCCTTCAGGTAGTTGAAGGCTGCTATTAAATCCCCCTCTCTCAGTCTTCTCTTCTCTAAACTAAATAAGCCCAGTTCCCTCAGCCTCTTCTCACAAATCATATGCCCCAGCCCCCTAAACACTTTCGTTGCCCCGCTGCTGGACTCTCTCCAGTCTGTCCACATCCCTTCTGTAGTGGGGGGCCCAAAATTGGACACAGCACTCCAGATGTGGCCTCACCAGTGCCAAATACAGGGAAATACTCACTTCCCTCCAATCTTCTGGCAATGCTCCTACAAATGCAGCCCAGCATGCCATTTGTCTTCTTTGCAACAAGGACATACTGTTGGCTCATAATCATCTTATCCACTGTAATCCCTCTTCTGCAAAGATGCTGCTTAGCCATTCAGTTCCCAGCCTGTACTGGTGCATGGGATTATTCTGTCTTAAATGCAGGATTTGCACTTTTCCTTATTGAACCTCATGAGATTTCTTTTGGTCCAATCCTCTGATTTGTCTAGGTCCCTCTGAATCCTAGTCCTACCCTTCAGTGTATCTACTACTCCTCCCAGCTTGGTATCATCTTCAAACTTCCCTCCACTCTTCCAGGTCACTGATGAAGATATTAAACAAAAGGAAGCATTTCAGTCACAGAATTATGACGTGCTTGGAATAACAGAGACTTGGTGGGATAGCTCGCATGCCTGGAACACTGCCATGGAAGGGTACAAACTGTTCAAGAAGGACAGGCACAGAAGAGGAGGGAGGAGGGGTTGTACTTTATGAAAAAAAGAGCCATAGATACTGAAACAGGTTACCTAGACAGGTGATGGAATCTCCGTTCTTGGAAGTTTTTAAGGCCGGGCTAGACAAAGCTTTGCCTGGGATGATCTACTTGGGGATCAATGATTATTTCTCCCTCTGCCTATGCAGCGCCTGCTCCTGCCCCAGCCCCAGCCCCAGCCCCTTCTTCACCATGGGGACCTCAATCTACCACCTCCCTCCACCAAGAAAAAAATATAAAGAGGTACATGAGCTGAAACTTTGAGACCAAAGGGGTACACTTATTTAAAAAGGTTTAAAACCCCTGCTATAGAGACATTAAGCTAAACCAGAATGACTTAGATCCACTTCTCCTACAGTAACAACAGCATTAGGGATCAAGAATCAAATGGTCTGCTGCTAAGAGAGGCCACATTGAAAGTTAATAAAGAAACAAAAACTGCATATAAATAAACTTTGTATTAGCAGAAAAAATAACTTACCACAAACCCAAGAGCTACTAATGGTTCACCTTCATTTAAATGATAAAGAAAGGATCCTCCATATGTATGTCTGTCCAAGGGCCAGCCTACCGTGTGTTCTACCCTTCCCGGTTTCCACTTCTTTTCATCAATAAGCCACAACTGGAATACAGGTCACCCAGAAACTACTTTACAATGCAAAATACAGTAATAGATTTCTTTTTATAATGCAACATAAAACCACAATCCAACTAGATGCAATAGGAATAAAACTGCATACATGTTACTTTCAATTTACTGTGCTACATTATATTATCAAGCAAGGAAAGCAATACAAACGCCCTCCCAGCATATTTCTAAGTGGCATTTCAATTACTATCCTTCCTTGAAACGCCACACATCAGCAAATTACACAAGTTGTTTCTTAATATTTTAAGCACGATAGATAAAGCTGGTGACAATCCCTAACATTTGCTGTTAATCACAGAAGATCCTGTGTTTTACATGAGTGATTTTAAATAACTTTTCTTAATGAATTCAAAAAGAGTAACATGTGCTTAATATTGACTTTAAAAAAAAAGCATTATTTTTGTTAATTAATAATGATAATTCCTTTTAATAACTTCCTCAATTAGGACTTTAAGTAGGATACTATAATCAGCCTCCCTGAGCATCCCAGAAACATTATGGTTCACATTCTATTTCCGTTATACTACAGTGCTTGAAATGTTGTAGTAAAGAAATGCTGTTGTAAATGTTCCCATAAATTTCATAGCCTCAAATACCATAATCTGAACTACATTTTACAGCTTTTTTGTAATGTGGAGTAAAAATTTAAATATAGAGAACAAAGTAATATATTCTGAACCTCTGAATATACTTTTCTTTGCTTTAATCCAAACCATTACTTTACATGAGTAATACATGGCACTTCATAAAACACAAAATATGTTTCTACATATACACACACTATTTCTACAAATTAAATAAAATCCCTGGGCTAGACGCCTTTAGAACTGTTGCTGGACCCCAAGGGTAACTGGCATAATTCTGAAACATAATTGAAGACAATTGAAGACCATTCTCAGCTATCATTCCAATACACTGGGGCACAACATAACTCATGGCACTAATTTCACAGAACAGTTGCATACAGAATAAGAATTGGGGTGTAGCAGACAGCCATACTTGGATAACTTTCCAATGTGGCTATGCCTTGGTTCTCCCTTATGCAGTGACACAGTCAGTTAGGCTTAAGGCTAGAAGTGGCTAAGAGTTAAAACAGTGAATTAAGGTTTTGGGGGGCTTGGGTTGTTTTGGGGTTTTGGGGGGGGCATATAGTGATACAGCCAATGTGGTTTCAGAAGACTATACTGTACTGTAACCAGAAAAAAGGGAGGGACAGTAAATTCTAGTTATAAAGTTCAAAGAAAACACAATGGCAACAGAAAGCAAATGGATTGACAGCATTAAAAAAAAAAAGAGAGAGAAAGTAGTTGTGCACTGGCAGGAAAAAGGCATTACAACTTAACTAGCCTTTTCCATCTCATTCTATAATACCAAAGGTTTAAAAGTGCGAGACTAATTCCCATGTTTTGTCAAAATTCACTGTCCTCTGTACTTATACAAACTATTTAATATATGTGCACACACGTACACATACAAACAAAATAAGTATACATGTACAGATATACCCACACCCAAATGAAAACAGTTCAACTGACAGGAATTATTTAAGCTTACAAAGACTGAGTTAAAATTAGTTAGGGATACCTCCTTCAGTCCAATACCGTAGCTCTGGACTTGGCACTTCTCCCTTAGATTGAATCTGTTGTACAACTGTTTGGCGAGATGTCCATGACAACCTTCTGCAAAGATTGTGATTTTGGCATGCAATTCCAAACCCCTTTCAAAGATAGCCTGTAAAAGCAGAATATTCAACAATCACCAAATGGATTTGAAAATATAGAGGAGATTGTGTCTGAACCTCTAAGTGCAACACAGAACTTGGACCTAAAAGAGGGGGCAGTATAATGCAATGCCTTAATAACACCTTGCATCTTCCTGATTCTGGGGCATGTTGGGAACAATCCTAATCAAAACAGTTCCCCTGGGTTGTGCAAAGCTTAAGTACCACAACAGACTGTGACTGTACTTCAAAATGCTCTCCTCACCTCCGCAAATGCTCCCTGTATGCCAGGCCTTGGGAGGTGCTCCCTGAAAGACCGCCTTCCACAAATCTTTTACCAGATAAACTTTCACCAGCTAAAAAGGGGATCTTTGGGTCCATTTATATCACACTGGCGTTTTTAATCTCTCATGAAGTGTAGCCAGAACGGGGTAGAGGATATTACTCTCTAACTTTCAAAATTTAAGATTTATTTAAAAAGTTGCCATCCTGGACAACATGCCATTTGGATAAAGGCCCTTAATCATATGTTATTTTGTCCACGTTGTCAGGATTTTGCATGCATCTTGTAAGAAAAGATTTTGAATAAATTACTCAGTTATGAGCAAATACTCCTCCAACACATATATATGACTTGAAATAGATTCAAATCCCACTCAAGGGTTTCCTGTGCATGCCAAGAAAAAGATAAACAATAGAAAATTAGTTTTCTTGCACATTTAAATAAACTACCAGATCTTAATGAAATTGGATGTTAGCAACAACTTCGCCAAAAAAAGATCCAAAACAAGTGCATCTTTCTTTTAGATATAATTGTTTTATATTAAAACAATAAAGAAGTTATAATATCTTGTTTGTAAATATACAGTGAGAATAATTAACAGAAAAGCTGTATTTTTAACAAAACTTGTCTCGGAGATGATTAGTAACACTTCTGGCATTTTTCTTACATAAACATGTCCCAGTTAAGCACAGAAAAGTTTTACTGAAATTTTTAATTTGATGTAGACAAATACTTATTATATAAAGGTGTCTCTCATGCTCCTGGAAAAGGTGCCTCCTGTGCATGTGTGTGCGCACATAGGCCTCTAGGGCAGTGGTTCTCAACCTTTTTAGCTCGGAGCACCCCTCACTGGACTTGAGGCACCCCTCCATCACTTTTGCAATTTGAGAGGCACCCAGCTTCAACAACTCATTTATATATTACAGTGCTTACTTCCTTGCAGAGGGGTCTGGCAGTGAGGGTGGGGAATTTGCCAGAGTGACAAGCTTGATCCTGCTCTTATCTGCTTATCTCTTTACACTTCAGTTATCTCCTCACACCTCATAGCATCCTTCAAAGGATCTGGCAGCACCCCTGGGTGCCACAAAACCTTGGTTGAGCATCACTGCTCTACTTTGTATCAGCTATGTGTTAGTCTTAAGTTACTTCCTAGGTTGTATTCTGCATTCTATTAGTTAAATAGACCATACAGGTGCCCCTTTAACCTACTGGGGATGAACAGTCTGGGCACAGCAGCAGACCCTTCTGCCTGCTCTATGACTGACTGCTCTTTGTTATACTGTATATTATTATACAGATTGCGGACCTTAGATCCAACATTAGTTACATAATGCGACAAGAATGTAATGTTGAGCGCTAAGTTCATATCACTGACAAGCATGGTAATTATGCAGGAAGTTGGTACTGAGAAGAAGAGAGCTCAGGCTACAACCACTACCTCCTTGCTGGGTCCCTCCAGCAGAAGGTGAGGTTCCTTCATTTACTCTGCTGTGAGCTGTAGCCTGATGGTGTACTAAAAACAGGACCATTGTTGTACAGCATTGTTCAAATAAAGGTTTGGTTAAGTCTGGCCCTCAAGAGTTTTTCTTTATCCATCTGCTCCTCTTATTCCCTCTGGGGGAGGGCCAAAGGGGGAGATGCTAATGTACGGAGAAAATTGACTAATTCATAGTAAAAATATCTGCTATTTTGATACACAGACTTAAACCAGTGTAAGCCACTCTACTCTAATAACGGCTGTCCCGCAGAAGCAACAAGCAACTCACAGGGACATGTTATACTGCACCTGTGTGTGTCTGTTTGCTGTAGAGTAAACAGCTACACTGGTAGACAGTTCATACCACAGTAGCAGTCTGCATGATACGAACTGCCATCTAGTGTTCAGGGCTTGCAATAGCATTGCTGCAGACCACTGGCTTTGGAGCAGGTCATGTGCCCACTCATAACTACAGGGAAAAATAAGGGGCGCAAGTACTTCATAAGAATGGCAATATGTCTTTTAGTGTGTGTGTGCACATGTGAGTGCATGCGTGCGTGCGTACTTGCAGCTAGCATCCTTCTGCTTTCTGTAGAAGAATTAATGCTTATTGTATTGTATACTTTATCATTGCCCCTTCTTTTTATTCATTTGTACTGTAGCAGTGAATCAGGACTACAACAATTCTTAAAGCAAGGATGAGAACTTACATCTTCCCACTCCAAGCAAATGCCCTGAACTTTAGGCTAAAAAAAAAAAAAAAAAAAACCACAAGCACTGCTGTTTGCTTCATTTTCCAAAGAATCTTGGCATCTTTTATGGACAGTGAAACAGCTTCAATAGAAGGGTGGAATGGTGTCACTCCACAGGACACAGGGCTCTCCAGAGGTAGATTAGGGTTTGAACCCCCTCAAGAAGAAGGAATTCCATATCCTGGGCAAGTGCTCTAATCAGTGTAAAAGGCCACCACTATTTTCCCCTCCTCCTTCACTGATACTGTTTTTAGAACAAAACTATGACCCTTGCCTGGTTTTGAAAGAAATATAAGGGGTGTGTCCATAACCTGGAATCATAAGTAGAGGAGCTTCCTTCCAGCCTTGTGTAAGATTAAGCTCCAAAAAAGTGGTAGGATTTAATCTTTCCTTGGCATTTCTCATTGGCTTGTTCTAGGCAACTCTTCACTCAGTGTAAGAACAGTTTTGACTCTCTCCAGTCTGTACTTATTTTGTGGATTCCACCTTGGAGGCCAGGCACTTAAAATTAAGAAACATTACACTCAAAGTCAAATTTTACAACTATCCTAAAGTATACTGCCAAAGTTCACCCCTCCCCCTGGTCCCACCCAAAAACAGGAATGATTTGGCGGTTTATAGCATCTCCTAAAGAGACATCTGTTCCAAGTTTGGTTTGGTTAACCTGTGGCCTCTTTGATGCGCGGTCTCTTTGAAAACCCAATAAACAAACTGTATTTATGTCATTTTTATCACCATATGGATTATGTTAATACCGTCTGTATGTATCTTCACAATTTGGGGTCAGAGCCTAACCAAAAGTTATAGCCAAGCCTCAAGTTACGAGTTGTTTACGTGTCAAAAGAACTGAGGAATGCCTACCCAAGGAAGAGAGAGAGGGCACACTGCTAAGTATTGCTGACCAATTGTTTTCCTAAAAAAAAAAAAGGAGCAATGGCCATTCTCAGACACAGGGCAGAAATGGCTATTGTAAGATGGGCGGCCAAGACACTGGGGTATGGTTGCTCCAACCCAACAATAAGAAATAAATCTCAGGGAGATGGGCCATTAACTAAGGGAATTCCAGATGCCTCAGGAAGAAAAGAAGTTTCTGAAGAATTTTCACACTTAGCAAATAAAACAATGGGGGGGGCCTGTGGAAGGTGCGTGACTTGGAGATGTTAGGACAGGGGTGGGCAAAATGCAGCCCACAGGCCAGATGTGGCCTGCCAGGCCATTCTAGCCAACCCGTGAGGCCCCTAAAAATTTAGAAAATTAATATCTATCTGCCCTTGGCTGCCTGTAATATGACCCTCGATGGCTTGCCAAAACTCATTAAGCGGCCCTCCACCTGAAATATTGCCTGCCCCTGTATTAGGAACTACCTGTGAGATAGTTATGGTTTTTGGATTATCCCTTGGAGTGACTCCAGGTCCCCAGCAGTCAGGACTAATAGAGTCAGCAGTTTTTAATTTTAAACGCCTGGCCTCCAAAGTTGTAGGACCCTCTGAAAGACTAATTTGTTGCCAGATGAGAGGGTGAGAAATTTTACTTGTCTTTTTGTTCCGTCTTCAAACGATGTGGCCCACTTTTCACGTTCAGTTCTTTTTTTTTTATGTAAGAAATCTTTTTGCTGCTTTTTTACCTTACTAATTGTGATAAAGCTTGATCTCAGGGAAAGTGGTATTCTAGGCTAACCTCTCCTATGGAGGTACAGGGATGTAGAATTGTTTCATGACCCAAGGCAAAAATCACCTGGAGCTGGCAAAAAAATCCTTCATGGAAGAGAACCTTTAAAATGTTTGAGCAAGAACAATTTTAATGAGGCAGGTCTGTTATACACATGCCATAAAACAGACATACAGATTCATCCAAAATGCATCCATGGAAAGAGGGTGGAATGGTTAGCAAAGGATGATAAAATTAACTGCAACTATGGTAGAAGACAGCAATCCTATAAAAGAACAGTGTTCTGTCTTTTATTAGTTACAGCTAGAAAGACCTCTCTTCAACCCTCACCTTTATGCATGGGCATAACTGGGAATTTCAGCTCTGTGTTAGGTAGCAGAGTAGGAGAGAGTCTTAACTCCTGGCTGCTGCTGCAAGGGCTCCCCACATACCAGCAGCTGTTCTTGCTGCCGTTGCTGAGCAAATTTCTCCTCTGGTGCAATGCTTTCCCACCTATAGTTATTATTCTGCTTTAGTCCATGCTTCCCCTTCTTCCTTGGCTTCTTTTCTTTTCCTCCAGGCTCTACCCATGTCAAATGACACTCAAAGTTACACACTCAAAGTAACTCCTCCTTAAATAATCCATCCTTCTGCAAAGGTTTTTGCTGACAATGCCAGAATAGAACTTCCTCTACCCTGAGACTGGAGCTTCATCCTGTGGCCATGAAGGACTGTTTGCACATATTTTAGATTTAAACTTGAGGCAGAGACTAGAATTTAAGTGTATGTAGTACCAAGCATAAAGACAGCACTAAAGTGATTTAGGCAGCAGCTACAGATTTGAAGGTTTGTTACAAAGAGATGAGTACTCACTTTAGGTGCTCCATCCTTTTGAATGCCTACATCATTTGTCGCAATCCCTTTCACACTTCCATCTTCATGGAAGAGAACCTTTAAAATGTTTGAGTAAGAACGATTTTAATGATTTATTTTCATTGCATTTCTCAAATTATATTCAAGTACAGAATATTGAGAATTAAAAAAACCAACAACATGAGCGGTCTATGGACACAATCTTGAAAACTAACGAATTATTCATTAACTTAAAAGGCAAGTACCTGAATCCAAGACAACTTTGAATGTAAGACGACCCCTCTATAATTAGGTTCTATACATAGAAAACGGTACATTTGTTATAATCTTCCATGTATAAAATCTAATTAGTGGAAGGTGATCTCAAATTTGTCCCCATCACTGCTATGGCAGGAAAAGCAGCAGTGGGAGGGCAAGGGGCTAGACTCCTACCCCTTGCTCCACCCCCATACCTGCCCCTCCGTGCCTGTGCCTGCTCCCTTGCATTCCATGCCTGTGCCTGACTCTCCCCCTCCCTGCCCACTCCCCCACTCCCTTACTTTCTCCTGCAGCTCTGCTCCTCTAGGGAAGCCAACAGCAACACAGCCCCAACCCAACCCTGGCCCAGCCTGCCTCCCCCACCCCTGCTCCCTCCTGTAGTCTGCTCCCCACCTGCTCCATGCCTACCCCTCCATTCCCTGCCTCCCTCCTTACCTTCCACTGCAGTATTGCTACAGCTCTGGGGCACTCAGCAGTAGCGCAGCCCCAGCCCAGCTAGAGAGAAGTGGCAGCAGCTCTCACCTGGGCAGCGTCAGGGCTGGAGCCAGAGCCGAAGGTAAGAGGAGAAGGGGCAGCTGAGGGGAGGGAAGTAGAGGGAGAGGGAGGTAGGCATAGGAACAGAACAGGGTGCAGGGGAGTGGAGGAAGGCAGTCTGCAGGTCCCCCTGTGTGAGCCCCGGCTGTGTGCCCCCTCCCTTGCCAAACAAGCTATTCCAGCCCAGGGCATGTGGTGGCTCAGCCCTAGCTTCAGCCCAGGGCCAAAGCCAGAGCTGAGCTTCTGCCTGCCCTGGTCTGATATTTGATTCTAAGATGGGACTTTTCTTCCCCTCATGCTGACCGGGAGAAAGAGACCTCATTTTCTGTTCAAGTAAATACAGTATGTCGGTGATTTCCTACGTTACGGCCACAGAATTCAGAATCTGGCAAGCCAATTTCTTAAATACTCCTCTGTAATATAGGGATTGCTACAATACATCAAAAACTGGGCCAAACTCTCTCACTTGCAGAGTTAGTCCCATTACCTCAGCTGCTGCATAGCCTGGATATACCTCAACACCCATAGCTTCTGCTTGTTCACCCAACCATCTTACAATATGTCCAAGGCGTACTATGTAATTCCCATGATTAACCATTGGAAGTCCTAGACAAAAAGAGAGAAATATACAACAATATGTCCAGATTCATGGATTAATGGGAATACATATACATAGTGCAAATGCTGTGTGAAAGATGTAAAAATTCAAATAAAGATTGGTTTTATCATTCTTAGCTATGATTGCAATAAAGCATATGAGATCTCTGTGCAATATTATGTATTATCATCCATCTACTTATACAGCCCTCATCATTGTAGCTTATTAAAATGTCTATGGACTTGCTCTAACACAACTGACTGCTCAATCCCCATTATATGCAGTTTCTACTTGAAATGCACACTGGAGCACTAGCTATTTTTTATAGCATATTAAAACACAGCCCCATTTCTCATCAAGTGTTCAAGTTTTGTACAAGCCATACCTGGAAGGACTGGCACTGGAATTCTGTAACTCTTTGTTAAAATCCCAAACTTGTCTTCAGTTACAGGAGTATGTAGTGGTGCCTAAAGAAAAAAAAAATCAGAGTTATTTCTTGCTGCTAGACAGTAAACAGATGCTATTTCCTTCTTAAAATAATCAATTAAAAATCTAACAGAATAGAAAACAAAGAAGCAGTAGTCTTATACAAAAGATCAATGATGTACACAAGAGGCCACATCTCAGAAAGAGCAACAGGTAAGAGATCAATTCAGCTAATGCTTCTTGGCTAGTGGAACTGACACAGAGCTTTTATAAGCAGTTCCTATCTCAGCGTTTGTTATAGTACCCATCATTATGATAGCCAAGAGATTTTTACACCACGAATCTAAAGGAAACAGATATTTACAATAGGAAAATATTTTCCTTTATTAAATTTTGCTTGATTTTTATTAAGAAATAATAGAAATAATGGTTATTATTAAGAAAATCTGGGGTCCACTAAAGAGTTTCTTTTTTTAAAAATTTTTTTACAAGTTAGGGGTAAATTATAATAATTTAATGTTCATAAATACCCCTCGCTCCTTCCAGTCTGGGAAAAGCTCTGTCAAAGCACGTGGCTCAAGACAAGCACCGGAAAGCGTATGTGCACCGAGCTGAGCAGCTTTCTCCACCAGACATACACGGACTTCTCTGTCATGCTCAATGGCTAACTGTTTGAGTCGAATAGCTGCAGAAAGTCCTGCGGGGCCTGCTCCAATGATGACAACATCAGCTTCTTCTGCAAATCTTTCCATGTTCACCGCTTCAATAGAGAAAAATGATATAAGGATTGTATCTATAATTTGTCTCTGTTCTCCCTCTGTCTCTGATCAGTGCAACTTTTACTGTTTTGCTTTGCAATAGAAGATATCAGGTATCACAGTAAATTTATGCTGTGCAAGGACAACAATGCAACAGAAAATGAACTAAACACCCAAACACCATTTGCTAACATACAGGGACTCAATAAAGAACTATACATGCTAGACACCATCACTGGTAACTACTCATCCTTGAGCACTGAAAGTCCAAGTGCCTCGAGCTCAGGAGGTAAAAGAATCATGAAGTGGCTTTTCTGTTTCTGCCCTTTCTTCATGATACTGGGAACAGTAACCCAAGTCTCAGGTATAGCCGACTTTACACTGGTAGTCATTGGCCTCCCCAGGCTGTTCCAGAAGCAGAGACTGCTAGAACTTAAATACACCCACCTTGTCCAACAATGGCCTAAAACCCACTGAAGTTATTCAAGTTATACAACCAAGTAGCAAAAACGTAATAGTTTAATCATCTTATTTTTTAAGACTAGCTCATAAGATTTTAATGCAAAATCATAAAAGTACATATCTGACAGTAGTAAAATAAAGATCAAATAAATGCTAACTTTTTCTAGTTTGTAACTAAGCTGACAAGACATATTTACATATTCACCTCTTTAAAGTCCTATACTTTAATATGATTAGATTTGCTGCATTACAACTGACCAGTTTAAACCACTATGAATACTGTAAACAACCATAATGCATTGTCTGAAACATTAGTATTGCTCACAACACAACATATTCTCTTTGTAAAATATATGTTTATGGTTTTAAACTTTAGAAAGCCTGCAAGTAATAAAAAAGCTGCTTTCTGATGTAATTTTTCACGTACCTTCCCATCGCTTGTCCTTGTCCCGAGGGTGAATAGTATAGTGTGTGGTTATACGAGGCACAGAAGTAGAAGTCCATCTTGCAACATGCACTGATGGCAGGCACTCTTTCTTTATCAACTTTAAAGCACGAAAACAACAATGTGCTGTGCAAAAAACAAGATTAACTGACTCGTTTACACATTAACCTGGCTCAATCACTGATGACAAACAGTCTTCAGCCTGAGATTTTGTTTGTTTGTTTTTTTTAAATCTTACACTGAAAAGAAAAATCCTAATCAAATCAGTTAACCCAGATCCTACTTTGATGCATGTTTTGGGAAAAAAGAGAAGGTTGGAGAGAGATTATTTATTGCAAGAGGCGCTATTCTACCTGTGCGTAGCAGCGCTTTCATCCTTGCACTCATATAATAGTGAGTTAGTGGGGGGGTGATCCAATTTAAAATCGCCCCCCCCCCCCCAAATTTAATCATACTTAAAATGAACAAGCAGGAAACCTTTATTTGAAGCATCCATTTTAATTTCACTCTTTAACTGTACTGAAAAACAAAATCCTTGACTAGAGCTATTCTGCTTTTTCTTGCTAACCAGGAAGTTATCTAATTCTATTCCTATTTCAGCAATATGTTACCAGCGCTTTAGCTGTATGGGCTGAAATCACAACCCATTAAAATGAACAGGTACAGCGTTTTGGAATGATTTTTTTTCAGTTAAATGAAACTAGTTTGTCTAAAGCAGATTGGGGTGGTCATCCTCCAGCCTGAGGGCCAAACACAGCCATAGTATCTGGCCCGTGGGATTCCCCACAGGTTGGGAACATTGGTGGTATGGGAGCGGTGGCAATTAATATGGCTATGTTCCACTGCTCCCAAATCCCAAGTGTCTGCACTGGGGCCTGGCTATGCTCCCTTCCCCTGCAGGGCTGGGGGCTGGGTTTGGGTCAAGCTTTCTTCTCTCCTACAGGGCCAGGTTGGGACTGGGATCCAGCTCCGCCACCCAACCCTCTGTGTGGCTGGATGGGACCCCACTATGCCCACCCCAGACACTGGATTGGATCCAGCAGCCAGATCTGGCCCATGGATGAACTGGACACCGAATGCCCAGCTCACTGGTTGAGCACCACTGAACTAGCTCCATAATGTAAAAAAATAAGCAGTAGCAGCAAGCTTATCGACAGTGATATGCATTCCAAACCGATGACACGCAGCACCGTTATCCATAGTTACAGAACCGAAATGCATTAGCTTGAGTCCCCACGTCCCCAGACCTTCCAGAACAGTGTCACCGCTGCTGGGGGGAGGGGGTGGGGTGACATAGCTCCGTGAGGCAGAGAGGGGCCTTGTGGAGCCCGGGGTGGGACAGGGGTGTGCCCACTGCTCTGTGCAACTCCCCTGTTTGCGCCTTGCTTTCAGGCACAGATCGAGGGACAAAACTACAACAGGTTTCCTGCTCACACGCCCCTTCTGTTCAAGGGAGCAGGCAACAGGGTCACGACTTCCAAGTCCATGCCTGACCAACGTCAAACTGCCAAACAAATGGTGCTGGGCGTGCCAATGAGACAGCGCCCGCAAAAGACACGAGAGAGCGCCCACAACAGCCTTGGCACCTGCGCTGTGGGGCTTTTTATTTTTGCTTTTGAAAAAATATATATTTCTATATAGATACATACATAGGGGTGTGCGTGTGTGCGTATACTTTTCCTGCCCGCTGCCCTGAGCAGCTGCCGGCTCCCGCTCTGCTCCTTGCGCTACGTCAGGACCCGCCCCTCCCGCGCCGCG